CTCCCCAGTGACTGCCCGGCCGCTCCCCCGAGTGCCCGATGCCCCCCGGTGACTGCCCCCTCAATGACCGGCCACCCCCGTGTCCGCAGATCCTGAGCAAGGTGTACGCGGTGCTGAGCGACGCCAAACAACGTGCCCTGTACGACGAGACCGGCACGGTGGATGAGGATGCTGAGGTGCTGCAGGGAGACAGGGACTGGCTGGAGTACTGGCAGCTGCTCTTCAAGGTGAGAGCAGCACTGGGAGCCGGAAAAACCCTCCAGTGTTTCTTTTTTATGTATTCTGTCTTAAATCTTTCTGGTGAGCAAGTCCTGTACCTCGTGGAGTTACTCATGGAATCTCTTTGCTCCAGGTCTCCGTAAAAGAGATCGAGGACTTCGAGAACAGCTACAAAAACTCAGAGGAAGAGCTGGAGGATGTGAAGGCGGCGTACCTGAACTTCAAGGGTGACATGAATCGGATCATGGAGTCCGTGATGTGCGTGGACTACACGGACGAGCCGAGGATCCAGGCAATGATCGAGCGAGCCATCGCCTCTGGGGAGCTCCCGTCCTACCAGGCCTTCGTGAGGGAGTCAAAGCAGAAAAAGATGTCCAGAAGAAGGCGGGTAGGTTGTGTCAGTTGTTTACCACATGGCAGAAATAAGCGACGCTGTTCCCGAGAGGTTTGTCCCGGGATTGCCGAGTTCCACACCTCGCTCAGCGTTCACATTTGCTCACCTGTGTTCATCACAGCCCACCCCAAATCGCTGGGAAACGGGGTTTTTTCCCTTCTTTTATTTCATTATTATACACAATGGCTTATTACACATGTCCCTGCATTTGTCTACAAAGCTGTGAGTTGTTGAAATTAACAAAAAAAAAACATCAAGTGGTGAAAATACATTTTGCTTGACTTTTGGCAGGTGTGAAACTGTTCTGGACTAGATGGACTCTTGTCCAAACACTTTGTAGAGTGTTACATGCACATCATAGTAACCTTTAACTTAGTGTAGGATCTGCTAAGGCAAAAAAGATATAGATAGGGGAACAGGGACAAACATCACAGTCAACATTGTGAAAGAGCAAAAAAACTTCCCTCTCTGCTAAATGATGGAACCTTTGCCTGACTCCTCATCTGTGGCCAAACCTGGAAACCCTTTGTGTTTCTTTGCAGTTCTTTGTACACAGATGCCAAAAAAAAAAAAAAAGCATTTGGTAACTCCTGTAAGACTTTGTCAGATAACATGCAAAATACTTTTTTAAAAAAAAACTTGTTTGCTTTTTCAGGCAGAAAAAGAAGCTAAAGAGGCAAAAAAGACTAAAGATGAACTGGGCCTTGGTGGAGAAAATGACTTGCAAGCGCTGATTCAAGTAAGGCTCTCTCTGTTTGTTGCAGATAATTATGTTACTGGCTTATAATTGTGTTTTCCCTGAGCATCTTTGATTTTGGATCCTTGCAACTCTTCTGAGTTCCTGAGGTTAAAACCTTAATGCTAACCATGTACTTTAATTAACAGAGTATGGTATGGATTTTATTGCCTGTGTCTTTAAAAATTAACAAAGTTATTCCACTTGCACTCAAAATATTTAATTTCTAGTTGCAGGCAGTTAGACAGGGAGTGTCAGTAATGGCACTAAACTTTCTACAGATTGTATTCCCTGTTCAATATATTCCAAGATTTTAGGTAGCTATCAGGCTTCAATAGAATAACCTGTATTGGGAAGTTACAGCAGCTTTGAATGTGGTTGGTTTTCTTTCCCCCTCCCCAGCGCCGAAGCAGGGATCGAGAAAGGGAAATGGATGACTTCTTTGCCCACCTGGAAGCAAAATATGGGAATAATGCCAAGAAAGGAGGAAAGAAAACTGCAGCCAAGAAGAGGAAGACATAAGGAACGATGTAGGCTGAAGTACCAGGTCTCATTTTGTATGGAAACGTGGGTTTGGGAGAACGTGGGATTGTTTCTGGGCTCCTGTTCTGGGCTGTGTGCACTGACTGGCTGTGACTGGGAGGCAGGACAAGGCAGACAAAGCATTCCTGTGCTACTGCTTCAAACCCTCTGGGTGCTCTTCAGTTGAGATCCACGTGTGCTGTTCACACAGTTCCTCCCTAACGAGCCTCCCTCTGTTTTTAAAGGTCTTTGCACATCAGCTCAACAGGTGTTTTTCAGATATTCCAGTAGTTTTATATAGTTTGGAAAATTGCAGATTTAATAAACGAGGTGGTTTTTTTGCAGAGTTCTGTGCTGTTGCTTCCCCAGTTCTCTCTGCTTGTTTTCTAAGTAGCTGTTCCAAACAAACTGATTGTGTTGATTCTCCTGATTTCAGTCAAGTAAATCCTGCACACTTCCATTTGCAGGATCATTTCTCAAAGGCTCAGGAGCCACGAGGTGAGCACTTTGAAGGCCCTCATTGCTTCAACACCAGCATTCAGGGAGCTTCCTGGGGGGAAGCCAGAGGTAGAGGGTCACTCTGTTCCCCTTTACTTGCCTGCTCCTAAAAAATTACCCTGATTCTGAGAGAGTACAGCATATCATTGTGTTGGATAACACAGGGCTTAAAGGTTACTTTTGTTACACAGAATAAATAAATAACAGCCCAGGATCAGTCTCTGGTGTCAACCATCTGTACAGAAAACACGAGATGGGCCTTAGGAGGAGACTGCTTTGCTTTTTCATTTAAACACACTGACTCCTCTAGGCTATAAAACACTACATTATGTTACCAGCAGTCTATTCAAGTTTATTTGTCTGGTTTTGTAACTCTTGTGCTACAGAAAACTCACTTTGTCCCTGAGGAATGGCATGGATACAAATGGGATGCTTATCTGCAGTTTGCCTGACAGAACTGACACACTGTACAATATTCCAGCAGTCCCAAGTGTTAAGAGAAATTGTATTTTGAAATGGTTTGGTGAGTAGAGGCCTCTGGTTAGCATCAGGTTCTCTCTCTGCAAATTTGAGAGGTTTAGATTGAGATCAGAGCTGCTCTTTTTTTTTTTTTTTACCTTCTGGAAATGCAAAGGCAAGTTAACCCAGTTACATTTGCACAGTTCCCTGTTTTTGATGAAAGCATGCTTGGATCAACTGGACTCAAGATCTTCAATATTGATTAAAAATTATTAGCTGCTCTGTAGGTAACATAAATTGGAGTGGGGAGATAGGGGAGATACTTCTTAAAGAACACTGACAAGTTTTTGTCCATTATGAACAGTAATTTGAAGAATAATAAGGAAATTAGGAAAAGAAGAGCTCTTTAATAGGATTAGAAAGGAACACAACTGTTTTTGTGCAGTGTCCTGAGTTTGTTTGAGTACAGCCAGTGATTATCCTCACCCTGTTTTTACACTTTAGTCTGTTTGGGAGTAAGACCTTCAACTAACTGCTTATTTTGAGAAGCCTGTATTTCATGGGGGTTTTTGTCTTATCTGGGGCCACAAGGGCAGCTGCAGCAAACACCTCCTCCAGGTCTGTCACACGGTGCAGACACAGCTGCTAAAAGCTCCATTGCATCTGTGGCTTGGGGAGAGCAGAAATCTTGTGTAATTACAGGTATTTTAGAAAGGGAGAGACTGAGCCATTCTCTGAAATCACCATAAAATATCTCACCAGGAAGACAAGTGTATTTTCTTGCAGTAGTGTGTGAAACTACTTGTAGTTAGAGGCTTCTTGTTGGCTGCTAACCCTTCTTCAGTCACTGAGGAAGAGGTGTAAGGTTAAATAACTCGGGAAGAGGCAGTGGTTGCTACCTGTGGAGCTGTCAGTTCACCTGCTTGGCTACCTTAGTGCTACACACCTGTGTCCAGATACCTGCTGCAACTACTGCAGGATCCAGCACTTGCCTAAGCTGAGTTGTAGAAGCAGAATCGAGTGCAGTGCTTGCTTTTCCTAGTACAATATTGCTTTAAACATATTTGAATATATAAATACAGCTTAAAAACATTTACATTACTACTTCTGTGGAAGGCCTGGGCAACCTTCTGTGGAGCTAATGGAAAAATGAGCAGGTTCTGCAGTACCTGCCTTGTAAGGACATGAACCCATCACGGACCTCACAGGAACACAGCAGTGACTGAGTGTTTGCTGGATTTCCTAGGAGTTAGGCTTTCCTGGAGATCTTCACCCTTCCACTGGAGTATCACTTTCTCTACTGGTAGAAAATGGAATGTTTAAGTGTACCCCTTCTAATCTTTGGCAGCTGCTGCTCAGGTTTATATAAAAATAACTATTTGTGAGGAAGGGTGTTTGAAAACTCTCTGTAAACAACGTTGACCTTGCTGGGAATGAGAGGTGGTTCATGACTCTCCAGAGATGGGCTGATGGACGATGGATGGATGGATTGGACACTTCTCCATGGCACCTCAGAACCCCTGTTTGCTTTTTGTGCCTGATCCACTTCGGCTGTGGCCTTTCACAGAACCACGTGGGAGGAGACCTAATAAACAGAGATCATGGACAACTTCAACACTTCTGAAAGGTATTCAAACTAAGTACCAAATGCACCTCCTTTAGCTTCAAATTAAAATGCCTTTTTTTAGTCTCTTTATTCTAATGCATTATTTATAACTTCCAAAAGGGGCAAAGTTTGTGCTTGCCAAGTTGCTGCATTGTAGGGAACTACTGTATTCCTTGATATTTCACCAAGTATTCAAGACTATAAAGTTCTGCTAATTTAATTTTTTTTTTGTTAATGCAGCAGTCATAAAACTCATCTTGCTTTTTTTGATGGGGGGAGGAGATATTTATTTTAATTTCAGCAGGAGTCCCTCCTTGCTGGTTTAAAAACAAATTACTTCTGTTTAGTGCCTTTTTTAAACTCAAATTGCCTCTTGTACCACTTATATTAGTGGTAGGAGGCCATTCAGCTATTAAACAAGCTGAAAGACCCCTCACATGCTCTAATAATCACTCATTTACTTGCTGCCTTAACCTTTGCAGCTTCCATTCACTGTTGCAGCCTCAATCCTACCTGTCAGCACATTTTTCTGTGGGAGATCCTGACAGTCCCATAAGGAGTGACACAGTACAAGCAACTCTGAGTTCAGAGGATGCATGTGAATTGTACTGGTACAGTTCCTGTCTTTCCAATGTATTTTGACTTGATCTAATACATATCTAGTACAGATCTAGTAAAACCCCTTCCAGATACAGTGCAAATTAGTTTGGTTTGGACATAATGTAATTTTTTTCAGTTGCATAGTTGAGCAGAAGGAAAAACCCTTGGGCATAAAGTAGATGCTGCTATTTCTGTTGAAGGTGGCAACTCCTGCTTTTCACTTTGACATTGAGAGGCACTGGGGCAGATTACATTAAGCTTCCTCAAGTGATTTTAAATACTTGGTGGTAATAAAAAACCAAACCCAAACTGCACCCAGCCATACTCTGGAATAGAGTGGGATACAGCCAGGATAAAACCTGGGTAATGGGAAATTAAAGACACGAACAGAACTTTGAAAAACCTCCTCGATGCAGCTACCTGGAGGAATGTATCCCTGCAGGAAGTGCATCCCTGTCCCAAAAGCCTACCCCTTGCTTGATCTTACTGAATCCTGTGCCTGAGGAACATACCTGAACCTGCTGCTGCTCTGCCTGTCCAGGACTGATTACTGTGATCCAGAACGGTGCAGGAACGGCGGCGCTGGGAATCTGGCTGAGAAGGCAGGGGAAAAGATGTAAACAGCAAGATTACAACGCAGCTACAAACTATTTGCCTAGTTGGCAAGATGCTGTAAAGGCCTAAGTAAAGTTTTGAGGAGGATTAAATCAACTTTAGGGGTAGAAAATATATTTTTCTAACGCGTATTTGGAATAATCACTGGACCAGTTAAAGATATTCTGGAAAAACTGTTCTGTTTCAAAACAGACTTTAGAAATTGTGTGCTCTCACAACTGCTGAGTCAAGGATGTTTAATCAAGCAGCTATTTAAAAGCTATCGCTGAAATTGTAGCTTTTAAAGCTTAGGTAAAAATTTGTTGGATAGGACAAGATATCAGTAGAGTAGGTGCTTATTGTTTGATACTGAAACAGATTGGGCATTGATTAGTGTTAATTCACCGAGCACTCTCTGCAGTAATTAAGGATGATGTGGTGTAATTTGCCATGCTTTACCAAGGATGTGTTGGTTGTGTTAGGCCTGGAGAAAGGATCAGGCAGGAGGAGCTGCTCCTGGAGCTGCTGGTGAGCATCTTCTTGTGTCGTTACACTGTGAGCACGACTCGAGCTCCCTCGAGGTTTCTGCAGGGAAGGGTAACACAGTTATGGCTTCTTCTCACTGCAGCAGCACATTGGCAATCCTCAGCCTAGGAATTAAAGCTAATTTTCCACATGAATCATTTTGCAACCTAGTTATGAGGAGGAAAACATTCTGGCATGAACAAGAATTAAGCAGGGAACTGTGGGTGATGTTGTTAGTTAAAACTGCTGGGATGGTTTTTGTGCATCCATTTGACTTGCTGTTGCAGGGTAACAAATACATTGGGACTTTTGGGCTTGGCAGTTTGATCAGCAGTGATTACAACTTCAGACTGTTCAGCAATAAAATGGAATTGTTTCCTTTACCATTTGCCTCTGGGATCCTGTGGTGCTCCCACGCTCTGCCACGCTGGAGGTGGCAATTGGGGGCAGGGGGTGATTTCGGTTCAGCAGCACTGGGGAGGGGGAGGTCAGCTGCTCCTGTGCACTCAGACTGAAAGGCACCAGTGAAAAGAGAAAAAAAATACAGTTTATATGTTTGGCACGTGGAAAGAGATAATACTGTCACTTTGTTTGGCCTTCTGGAGTTGACTGTTCTGTAAGAACACCTTAGAAAAGCTTGAGAACATTTTAAAAACACTTTCCTAGTGCTCTCTGCATTTAAAAATATATGCTAATAAAGGTGAGATGTTAATATTTGTTAGACTGATTGAAGCCTGAGGAAAGGGAACAGAAGCATAAAATACTGGAAGTAGAAACATCAGTTGTGGAAGGACAAGGAATTAGTCTCTAAACACTACGTGACAAGAAAATAACAGGCTCAGTGAGTTTATACATACACTACAAAACTGAAAGGAAACTACATCGATTTACAACACATGGAATACAGAGGTATATCAAAGCCTGCATTGTTCCTTGATACCCTGTGGTCCCTGTAAATGTGCAAAATAAGATGTTTTAGCTGTGACTGAGGGGTTCATTAAGAGCACTTTGGTCAGTCAGATAACCTATTTTAACATCTTTACAGCCCAGCCTGGGCTAGGATAGCAACGTGCAGTTTCCCCTCCAAAAACTGTAGACTTTTAAATTCATCTTGCAAACAGGCTCCAGAAAAAGAAAACCATGTGAAGAAAGAGATGGTGGTGTGGACTTTGCTGGTACTGGGCAGACTGAGGTGCCAAACCACCTCTGTGTGTCTGTGATTCAGTGAATCGCAGCGCGGTGACCACCAGCCTCAGCCCCTCAGCTTTCTGGGGGCAGCTGTGCTTTAAGGGGCAGCTCCTTTCTTTAACCCCCTGTTCTTCCTGCCCATCTGCCTGTCTGTGGTGCCAGCTGGGCTCCCTGCAGTGCTCAGCCCCAGGAGGGGCGGGTGGGACGTACAGCCGTGCCGCGTCCCCGGAGCGCGGGGTCCCGGGGCGGGGCTGGCTGCCCGAGATGGGGTGCAGGGTCCGGGGCGGGGGGTTCCTCCTCCTCGTGGAGCGGGACAGGGAGGATGTGCTGAGCTCCAGAGCACGGTTTGGCCACGTTCTGATGGAGAGGATGGAGCTGGAACCCGGCCGTCTGTCATCCAGGTCCCTGACAAAACACCAACAGGGAGAAGGTCAGCGTGGCCCATTCCCAAAGCACTCACCCATGTGTGGCATTAATCCTAAAATACACGGGCAGACACGATGGGTTTTCATTTTTAACAGAACTATATAATCTATAGTACTGTTTCACTGTATCCTAACACTTCATTTTTCACAGAGGACAAATAAACACACAAACAAGCAGGGAAATAATTGAGAAGAGCTTTCTCATAATTTATCTCACAAAGGTTTGGGCTGAATCCCTCTCACTGTGAGAACACTCTACTTTATTTACAACAGATGATCTGTAACTCTTACAGTGTTTTTTCCACTACAGGCAGGTTCCTTTGGTGTAACTGGATCCCATGGATCACCATCAAGCCATTCAGATTATGCTGAGAGCCACTACTTGACCCTTGAGAGAGACTGACCTGAAATTAAAAAAAAAAAAGTAAGTAAATTGCTGCTTGGCAGAGATACACTTACAGATTTTGTATATAATTTTGGAGAAAACACACTAATTTCTTTCATGACATCCAGATATATGCTCAGTTTTATATTATTTCTCCATCTAAGAGAAAAATCTTAGCAGTCCTTTGTTTTTTTTTGCAAATGGTAGTAGTTAGACAATGTATCCTAAAACTTCATATTTTCCAATTGAGCAGCTCACTTGCATGAGAGGATCTTCCAATTACTATAATCTGAAGTTTTACAAAACTAATTTTGAGTGCATGTTCACATTTTGTATCTGCAAATACAGACTGATCTGGAAAAACATCAAATTCCACCCACCAAAACAACAGAAAACAGAAAGCAGCAGAGCTTTAATCCCTCCAGGATACATACTTGAGGTGTTTTTCTTCTCTTTTTGCTTTTGCAGCCACATCTGGGTTTTGGGCACTACACACACAGTAAGGGAACACGAGGAACAGGCAGGGGTAGAAATAAAGGAGAGAGAAATAAGGACAGAGTTGAATTAAAACGGAATAAACAGGTAACACTTTGGTGCTCAGCACTCCAGGAGCAGATCATCCAAAGCAGATTATGCAGATAAAATCAGTGTCTGAGAAAAAAAGCTGGTTTAGAGCTGCACTGGGATTTGCCCCCTATTGCCTGATGAAAGATGTTGGTGAGAACAGGATCCCACACACACAGTCCTCAATCTCATTGAGGTCAAATATTATTAAAGTATAGAAAAAAACTACATCATTATTCAACATGGTTGTCCTGTACATATATAAAACACTAAGTTTTAAAGAGAGAAGTAGGAATTAAAACTTGCAACTGAGTAGTAAAAGGACTTAAGTGTTAGAAAGGACAGTCAGCATTCCCACAAAGGCCAAACTCGTTCTGTACCTAAACATAACCCAGGGACTGACATCCTGCAGTGTGTTTGCTGAAGTAGCACTGTATTGATTCATCCCTCCACAAAGCAGGGGCTAAAAATACTTACCAGATTTGAGGTCACCGAGGGCATTTTCGGGTGTGGCACACGAGGTAACAAGGCTGGCAGAGGATCGAGCTGCAAAGGGCTTCTGGCACCTGCCCTGAGTGTTTCCACTGTTATGATATTTTTCTCATCATCTGTGCAAAGCAAGAGAGAGTTCCTGTCAATTCAGGCTGTTGGCACTGCTAGTCATGGACAGTGCTATGAATCCAAATGTTTAGAGAGAGAGAGTTCTCTTGGATGGTAAGTTCTGCTAAATCTTTTGAAGGCATATCTCACACTCACCAACGTTACCTTCTTATTCCCACTGCAGAGATCATCCCCCAGTACATCCCTCCCCCACTGCCTCCTTGCAAAATCCACTCCCTGAAAACCCCTTTTCAGCCTTCACTCGAGCTGTGATCCTCACCAGAGGCTGACCCTTCCCAGTGCCTGCAGATCAGCTCCTCCATGCAGCCCAGGACTTCACTCCACACATCATCAAACACGAAGGTGAGCACGGAATCCCTGGTGCAGGAATATGGGGAGACAGGAGGAAAGCCCAGTTTCTGTCTGCCAGAGGACAGGCCCCTTTTCCTCTCGTGCAGCTCCTCCTCCCTGTGGAAATGTAAGCACTGCCTGTACCACAAACACAGTGCCTTTGCCTCCTGCATTTATTTTTAGTTCTTCCACCAACCCAAATAAGAAATGCCTGAGACCACCACCTATTGCTGCACACCCTGGTTTCCCTGTACAGAATGACTCTTCAATGATACTTCACAGATAATGAATTATTTACTGATAAGATCAAAGTCCTATTCAAAAATGAGTATTAATAGTTGCAGTGATGTTTCTTCATCACATTGTTAAGCTCCATATCTAATGCCACTACAGAATGCTGAAGACAAGAGATGATATTATTTCCTGCAGCAATGTCTCTCTGGCCTGGTCAAAGCAAGACAAGGAACAATTTAAATTAAATGGTCCATGCAGCTAAGTGGCTTTAATTATTAAAACCAATTAAGTAGTTAGGAACTGACAGTATACCCTCCAGAGTCCTTACCCAGGCCATATGTTCATATTGTTGGGTGGGATAAAGTAAAGGGACAAAAAAATAAAAAAGAGTGGTAATTGTTTCTTGGAGAGCATCAAATCCACTCTTAGTTCTTAAATTACCACTGAAAAATCTGGAAAAGGTACAATTCCACCCAAAATAGCAGTACAAAACCAAAGCAGCATAACAAACAACAATGAATTTGACTCAATATAAAAAATAAATGGTGTTTAAACAAGTTTTATGAAATATGCAAGCTCTTAGTTACGGTGGAATGAACTATTCAAACCAGGCACAAAAATGGATGGTATGAAAGATGACAAAAAATTTCAGAAAAAATAATAAACTGTCCTAGGAAAAGAGTAGGGAGAATTCTCAGTTCCCTGCCAACTTCAGGCCTTTGAAAGTTCTCTAGGGAAAAAGTATTAAAAAAAAATAAACTCATCAAATACAGCAGGAACCCCAGGACACTGGTACTAGTTAATACTGTCTTAACATTCAATACCTACACATCTCTGCAGTCAAATGCCAAATATTCCTCCACTATGCCTTCGGAGAGAATTATTTCCTCTTCCCCTTCGTCACTCTCTGAGGAACACAAGGTCGGAGACTTGGAAGGGTCGGCCTTTTTGTGAACAGGAGTAACAAAAAGAGGGACCTTCTTGCCAAAAACACTAAATCTGAACAGGTGACAGTTGTCAGAAAGCAGAAATAAAAATAAGTTATTATTCCACTTCAAATAACTGAGAGACAGCATGGTACTTAAGGCCAAGGGAGACCAACAAATTATTCATTACAGTAAAAACTGTTGCTTTGGATATTTTTTAATTCTTGCTAAGGAACTCGAAACTTCAGGGAAAAAAAATCAGAAAGCATTTTGAAACATTAAATCATAATAGTACTAACGCAGTGCTTTGTATTTTTTATGTTCTGTACAAATTTAACAGCTGATTAGCAATAAAACCAGCTACAAAACACACACATCCTTAAGAAGTCAGCAGCAGCAAAGATATTTCTATTTACTGACCAGCTCAAGGTAGTCAGCAACGAGCACGGCTACGTAGTCTTGCTGCTCTGAATGTACTATTTTCAGTTAAAAAGGAAAATAAAGTGTGCTGTGTTCAAAACTCAGCCTGGCAGGAAGGAGTCAGGGCTGCACATTTTGAAGCAGCAGAGGACAAAGCTGCTTCCCACTGCCTTGTTCCCTGCAGAGAACAAAGTGACCTTCCCTCCTGGGTCCAGCCACAGGTACTTACTCATCAGCATCCTGCTCTGGAGGTGAACTTACACCTGAGGGAGCCCAGCTGCCCGCAGGGGAACTGCAGAACCATCCATACCCTTCATCCGTGGGCACCACCACCTGCCTCCCCACAACCCTGCCGGGGCACAAGCACAGGGGACACACGTCAGGAGCTGCTGGAAGGGAGGTTACTGAAGTGTGTCAGAGCAGCAGCACACCCTAAGAGCTCTTCTGGGGAGCTGTGCAGTTTTCCTGGTGGTTGGTTCAGTTGTTTTCCCTGGTGCAGGTTGCTTTGAGCCGGGTAAATACATCAAAAAAATGTGGCCTGTTTCTTTTTTAATGCTCTGCTAACTGTAAAACTTATGAATATGGACAAAACTGTTTCAAGTGCACGTAATGAAGATCTAAAATGTAAGTTTTCAGACAGCCATAAGGACTGCTGAACTAGGGGAGGAGGGTTTTTACATGATTTTAAGCTTATAGCTCCACCACAAGAAAATTTGCTGTGCTTAACAGAGCGAAACCCGATTTTCTAAGAGAACTCTGCTATGTTAAGGCCAAATCAGCTGCAAATAGCCATAAACCTCTGTCAGGGAACCAAATATGAGGTAACAGACTGTTTATTTTAATGACCAGAGTGATCTTTTTATTTCTCTCTACTCCATAAGTGCACAAACCCACCCTGCTACAAATGTTTTAAAAGCAACTGTGTCCATGCCTACCCTTTTTGTGAGGGGATTGGCATTAGTGTGTCCATAAAATACCTGAGATGAGGAAAGCTGGATGTCCACTGCTGGCATTCCTCCCACAGTCCCTCCACATGCACATTTTCCTTCTGCTCATAGAGAAGCTCATCAATTTGCCTGAACATCTCCTGAACTTGTTGTGTGGCAGCTTTATCAAATTCCTAGGAAGGGAAGTTATCCAGTAAATACCTAGTGAACAGTATTTGCATTGCAGGGTGGGGTGTTAATTGATTTTTCTTTAATATAATTGAAAAAGACAACTATTTGTTTAAAGCTTAACAGGACTGCATAGAAGGATTTTAACTTTAAATCATTTCCTTCCAGAGATGATAATTTCCCCCCTGCTGCTAAGACTGAAGGTGGCCACATAAAAAGCTTACACTGACACGGCAGATAAACTACTAAAACATTTTGAAATATCTGTGTTATTACATTAAGTTACAAGATATAGGAATTTACATAAATCAGAACAGGAGGGATAAAATCCAGTGATATTTTAATGCAATGGAAAATCTGTGGCTTGCAACAGACAGACAACATCAAAACAAAAGGCAGTGCAGACTGGTGGGAAACAGTGAAAGTGAGGGATGGTCAGGACCTTCGTTACATGTGCTCATGTAGCCAGAAAATGAGGTCAGTTCTGGGGTCATTTAAATCTAAACAGCCCCATCTCACAAGAAAGCAACAGCACATTGGGCTTTGGTAGATGGAGAACAAAACAACCATTTCTAAATTAAAATTACGTTTAGGAGCTTCCAGTATTGTGAGAAGCAAGTATGCAGAAGTTGGATAAACTCACACCAAGTACCTGAAAATCACCCAGTCACGTTTGGGACTCCACACTAACAGCATTTGTAGATACACTTATGCAATAAATTATTTGCTTTTCCAAAATTTTAGATGGAAGTACACCATATTAATTGAATAATATGAGCCTAATGTGTTCTCAACTGGGAGAAAGAAAAAAATATGCTCTTTTTATAATCACTATGATGATTTATTAACAGAACCAATCCTCATTTTTATCCTGAAATGTCTTTGCCATGGTATTTTGAACAGTTTTCTCCTCACTGTGGCAGGTTTGGCTTGGCTGATATGTTCTACTCACATCATAGCCCCAAGAGAAGACTGAGCTGTCCTCAGTGGAGGTGTCGGCACAGCTCTCACTGGCAGTCCCTGGATTCCCATGATCAGCTGATTCCCTCCGGATTTCTGACTCCCTGAAACCCACACAAAATAAACAGTGGGCAAAAAACAAACAACGAGAAATGCAGTGTGTCAGCCAACAAAGCCTGGCTGTATCAGAACAGCTCTGGGAGAGATGTGCCCACAGTACCTGGAGACGTGGCCGTGGTTTTCAGCCCTGGCTGTGGCTGAGCACACCTGAACTCCTGGCTCTGGCAGGGGGTGATGCCTCAGGGCATGTTTTGGGAGTCCTTGTCTGAAAAAAAGGCAGCAGAACTTGACAAGTTACTCACAAGAACAAATGTTTGCGGAGTTCCCAAGAAGTTTTACAGGTTTTTCTTTTCTGCTTTTCAAGGAATGCGCATGCATCTGTTGTTATTAGAAGGCTAATTCTTGTTACTAAGGCTTTAGGTAAGGACCAGAGAAAACGGCCTCAAGTCACACCAGGGGAGGTGCAGGTTGGATATTAGGAAAAGTTCCTTCGTGGAGAGGGTGGTCAGGCATTGGAGCAGGCCTTGGTGCAGTCACTGCCCCCAGAAACGTTTAAAAGGATGTGGGTGTGGCACTTGAGAGCAGGGTTTAGTGATGAACACGGTGGTGCTGGGTTAATGGTTGGACTTGATCTTAGAGGGCTTTTCCAGCCTTAATGATTCTGTGCTTCTAGGAAACAGGCACTGGCAAGTTGAGAGGAATAATTTTTGGTAGTTTTTCGTTTTGTCAAACTGTAGATGTCAAGGAGAGGGAGACAAGAAAAGTAGCATTAATTGGAGACAACAAGTACCAATGCAGGGCAGAAACCCTGCCTCAAACAGCAGCTGAATGAGGCTTAAATAGAGGCTGTCATTTCTCTGCTGGCCAGAAATGGCAGAATTAAACATAAAAAGGCTGTAGGTAAGTCATTAACTTCCAAAATGGATATATTTGTTCAATACAAATTAAATACAGTTAAATACACGTTTGTTTAATACAAATACATAAAAAAGAAAAAAGACCAGCATATCAATTGGGTCAGAACTGACCCAAAATTATTGTTACCGAAGGTTTACATTTAAGGTATCAGAACTGTCGTTATAGTACTATATTTAAGAACAGTTATATATTATAAGCAGGGTCTTCGCTTTGAAACGTCCTCCTTTAAACTAAAAACGTTGTGAATTGCGCTGCAGCTCCCTGAGCGCAGAGACAATGTCGCTGTCCCCGGAGGCGAATTAAATTAAATTAAACGGCACAAAAGCAACCAAGTCGGTCAGAACCGACGCTGCTCTTGGGCCAGGGGCACCAGGCAGGGCAGAGCAGGGATTTAACCGCGCTGTGTCCCGGGGGTACCGCGGGGGGACACACGCGGCGGCCGGGCCCTGGCGGGGCCCTGTCTGCGGCGGGAGCCGGGATGGGGCCGGGATGGGGACGCGGGATGGGGATGGTGGAATAGGGACGGGACGGAACGGGAATGCAGACGGGGAGCGGGGCCGGGATGGCGCTGGGGCCGGGGAGCGGGCCATCACTGGGTATCGGTTTGCGCGCGTTCGCGATTCATCCATAAGAGGTATGACGTCTTTCGCCCGCCGCTCGCGCGCTCCTTCCGCGGGGCGGATGCGCGCCGCGCCGCGGTGGAAGCCGCTCGGGCGGGCTGCCGGTGAATACGAGGCTCATACGGGACTGGAGCCGCTCGCGAGCCGGCTGCCTGCGTGGGGCCGCTGGGCTCGGCCCGCGCTGCCGAGGACGCGGTGCGGTAACATTTAGATATCGCGCACGGGCCCGGCAGAGGAGTGCTTCGGACTTGCGATGTTCTCGGGTGACAGATTTGTGCGAGCCCTCGCGGAGAGGAGCACGTTGTGCGTGATGGCTCTACGTTTCACGGGGCGCAGAGCTGACATGCGAGTTCGTGAGATGGTGGCAAGAAGCTCGCTGAGGGGCTGAGGTGCTTGACCTGCGCACGAGCCTGGCAGCAGGGCGATAAGCACGCGGTGGGTGGGAGATGCTGTAGTGATTGGTGGCTACGCGCGAGTGTGTTGACGGGCACGAGTCTGGATGTGATGAGAGGACGGAGACGCGTGAGTGGGGTTACGCGAGACGCGTCAGTGTGAGGAGGAGCGCGGTGTGTGAGGGGGAGCCGGTGTGTGAGGGGGAGCCGGTGTGTGAGGGGGAGCCGGTGGTGGTGAGGGGGACCGGTTGTGAGGGGGACCCGTGCTCGTGGAGGGGGACCGGTGGTGGTGAGGGGGACCGGTGTGGAGGGGGGACCCGGTGTGTGGAAGGGTACGGTGTGTGAGGGGGTGCCGGTGTGTGAGGGGGCCCGGCCAGGCCTGTCAGGTGTATCCAGGAGTTTGTAAGAGGGACCCGGCGGGTTCACAGAATCCCCAGAACGGGTCAGGCTGGAAGGGACCGCAGTGGGGCATCTGGTCCAACCTCGCTGCTCCGGCAGGGCCGTCCCAGAGCACACGGCACAGGAGTGTGTCCAGACGGCTCTGGAATATCCCCGGTGAGGGACACACACCGTCTCTGGGCAGTTCCTGGCTATGGGGTTGCTCTGGAATATCCCCAGTGAGGGACACACACTGTCTCTGGGCAGTTCCTGGCTATGGGGTTGCTCTGGAACATCCCCAGTGAGGGACACACACCGTCTCTGGGCAGTTCCTGGCTATGGGATTGCTCTGGAATATCCCCGGTGAGGGACACACACCGTCTCTGGGCAGTTCCTGGCTATGGGGTTGCTCTGGAATATCCCCAGTGAGGGACACACACGGTCTCTGGGCAGTTCCTGGCTATGGGGTTGCTCTGGAATATCCCCAGTGAGGGACACACACCGTCTCTGGGCAGTTCCTGGCTATGGGATTGCTCTGGAATATCCCCGGTGAGGGACACACACCGTCCCTGGGCAGTTCCTGGGTATGGGGTTGCTGAGCTGTCTCTGCCCCCCGTGCAGGTGAGATCCCGGAGCACATCGGCGGCACCACCCTGTTCGGGGACAACGTGGAGGACGAGTGGTTCATCGTCTACCTGGTCCGGGAGATCACCAGGGACTTCCCGGGGCTGGCAGCCAGGTAGGGCAGGTCCTGCTGGGGTGCCCAGAATTTCAGGAGGCGTGTGAAGGGGTAGTGCCTTCGCTTTGAAGGTCCTGTCTTAACATTGCCCATCCCTGGAAGCGTTCAAGGCCAGGCTGCTTGGGGACTCTGATTATACTGGTCTGGTGGAAGGTGTCCCTGCCCATGGCTGGGTGTTGGAACCAGATGATCTTTAAGGTCCCTTCCAACCTAAACCATTCTATGATTCTTTGAGTATTAAAAAGAAACCCAGCAGACATGGATTTAGGAGCACATTACTGTGCTCTGCAAGGCTTTCCCTTTTAAGAAACCGATTTCTCCTTGGCCAGGATCGATGACAACGATGGAGAGTTTCTCCTGATAGAAGCAGCTGACTTTCTCCCAAAGTGGCTGAATCCTGAGAACAGCGAAAACAGGGTGAGTAAAACTTCTGTACATTTGGCAAGTGGCTCATGGTGGTCTTTTATGTAGCAGCTGGAATCTTCTCTTGCACCTCTAGCCAAGTGGTCTGACTGCTTCTGAAAATCCAGAGTGCTGTCTGTCTCTTACCAGTGAATAAACTTCTACTCAGGGCTCAAGGCTTGTTTTAATCAACAGCATGGGGTTTTTTTAGTACAGTCTCTTTTCATTCTGGTTTTAATGAGCTGCTCTGTGCTTGCTGTGGTTGTTGAATGAGAGACTTAACGACTGGGAACTCCTCACACTTGATTTGGATCCCTGTGCTCTTGCAGAATGTTATGTAGAGTGAGTGTGTAGGGAATTTTTCAGCAATTAGGTTATGCTGATTCTCCCGAAGCAAATCTCTGGTTGAAGGGAAACTTTCGGTATTACTGTTACTAAGGAAACAAGATACATTTGACTAAACTTGTTGAAGTTAAAATAGGGGTCTTTATTCACTGTTTGGGTCGTGGTCACTAGCATCTCAAATGCATTTTTAGATTATACTGCTTCCCATATTATTTATTTGTACTGCAGTATTCCCTGTGTTCAAACAAATGCATTTTGTATATGAAATTAAGCTTCCCATAGCTCAGTGTGTGGAACGTTCCCCTCTGCCAGGTGTTCTTTTACAAAGGAGAGCTGCACATCATTCCGCTGGCAGAGCCTGGGGAGCAGGAATGGGACCTGTCTGCTCCCTGTCCAACAGTCTCAGAGGCACTGGCACTGTTATCCACCCGTGCTGAGGAGTTCCTGGCTACAGAGCCCATCAGAGCTGCCGTGTACAAACGCATCGATGGGTATGTGGGTGTTTTATTTTGGTCTTCTGCCACAGTGAGTTTTGATTACTGGGCTGTCTGGGGTTTAAAGATTTCCCTGATAGATAAAGTGATAAAGTCGATTCCTTTCCAGAAACCACCAGCTAGAGGTTTTCCTGTGGCATTCTTGGGAAGAGGGGGATCAGTGTCCCATAGACTGTGATCTGGGGGCTCTGAAACTGGTTCACTGCTATGACTCCACACCTGGCAATGACAAGTTATTCTTCCTTCCCATCCTTCTTGTACCGAAAAATCTCAGAGTTCTGTGAGCCTTTGGGACCCCTTTGCAGGAGGAAAAAGAGGATTTGAACTACAATGTAGAACCAGCGTATTTTTCAGAGCACCACAGCACTGCCCATTAATTTTTGCAACAGTGTGAGCCAGATGACTTCCACACTGGGTGTGGTGAAGGACACTGTATAGCTGAATACGTTAGCTCAGTTCTCAGTGGCTCCCCAATGTGGGCATTAGTGTGTATGTGTGGGGGATATTCCATCTGCTACAGAAGCAGCCATTCCAGGCGAGTTTTAACTTCAGAATAACGTGGGTTAATATTGCAGTGAAAATGGGACTGGCAGTGACAAAGGAGTGGTTTGGGCTGGCAGTGCACTGACTGTGGCTGTTGTGTGACACAGGTATCCCGAGAAGCTCCGGGCCTGCTTGCACCGAGCCCGGTGTTACGTGCCGGCGGGCATCGCGGCGGTGCTGCGGCAGCGCCCCTCCCTGGTGGCCGCCGCAGTCCAGGCCTTCTACCTGCGGGACCCGGCGGATTTGCGGGCCTGTCGTCGCCCTTTCCACACCTTCCCTGCGGACCAGCGCGTGATGACCGTGGTCAGTGACCCAGATCAACCTGGCAGCTCGCTTCTGTGACTGGCAGGGGCTCTGGGGGCAGTGGTGTAAATATGTGTGTTTAGTTTTTACGACAGGATGTTTACTGGTTTGTTTGTTGTTTTTTTTTAATGAACTTTTAATAACTTCCAGTTTGTTACATTAATAGCTTGTGTGCCTTCCCGTTGACACAGCTGGGCTTTCAAAGGGCTAAGCAGGAGGTAAATGTTTCTGAAACGGGTGGTTGTGCTAATAGTCCCTCTGCTGAAATGCTCGCTGAATAAACTGATCCCCTTCTGTATTCAGAGCAGTTTGACAGCACTGCCAGCCAACAGGAGTTGCTGCTAACTACCCCCAGCTGTTCATGCCAAGGCTTCTCAGCTTGTCAGCTGTGCTCACACACTTTATGAAGTGTTTCATGAGCTTTGTGTCGTATCTGATACATTTTCTGACACTGTTATACCCCTAGACTACTGAAAAGAAGCTTTGTGGTCAAATTTTAGATTTCTACACTGTTCCTGAAATCTCAGCTTTGGTTTCATTAACAGAAAAAAGCCCTTGAAGTTTTTCAAAATACACCTTGTTGGTGTAAATACTGAATACTTAGGGTCTTTTCTAATGTGTTTAGACTGATGGAAGCTCACGTCTATGTAGAGATGTCAACTTGGAATATACTTTGTAAGACCTGAAAAGCAACATACCTTAGAAAAACGTACCTGGGATGTGTTTGAATGCGGACTCAGGTGTTGTCTGTAATGCTGGTGCCTTAAAACACGATTTAGAGGAGCCTGGTGGAAAGCTGCTGCCTGTACACGACCCAGTCTCAGTGGTTTTGTTGTGCTCTGGCTGTTCCAGGTCACCTTCACACGGTGTCTGTATGCACAGCTGGTGCAGCAGAAGTTTGTTCCGGACAGACGCAGTGGATACACCCTGCCCGCCCCAGCTCACCCTCAGTACAGAGCCCATGAACTGGGCATGAAGCTGGTGAGGATTTCTTATGCATTTTGTGCCTAGTTTGCCTGTTTATGTATGTCCAGGGAATGACTCTTTGCTTTTTAGGTTGCCTGCTCGTCCAGAAAACTGTGAGCAAAGTTTGCTACACCTTGAGAACCTCCTTGTTTTTACATCTCTTATTCAGGCTCATGGCTTTGAAATTTTGTGCTCCAAGAGCAGCAAAGTATCTCCTAATTCCAAGAGAAATGTGCTCAGTGGTCCCCTGTGGGAGAGATTCCTCAGGAGCCTGAAGGAAAAGGATTATTTCAAGGTGAAGTTGTGTGCCTGTGTCTTATAAACATTCCAATAAAAATGTTTTAGCTCTTGAACTTGTGTAAGTAGTTGCAGCAGGGCAGGAAATCTAATGCTTCTTTCTATGGAAAA